CAAGTGGTGCAATCCAATTAATTTCTACATGTGGTATTCCTAAACTGATATTATAATTTTGATTTCAATTTGGTATTTCTATGCTTTCTCCATGCATTATATAGATTAAACTCCCTTGTGCATTAAATTGCCGGTTATGCATATGCTTCGCCATCCATGTTATGTATGCATATATTTTGGGGGAGCTTAGTCTATGTAATGTGAGAGTCAAGTTTTGTGATCAATTCCTCTCCATATACAAAGGATTATAAATTTTGACCCTCCCTTGTGCTACTAATGTCTTCATTTTTGGTGTTTGATTCCAATTGGGGAGAAGTTGTAGGACCAAAAGCAAGCTCAACCCATAATAACACCAAATCCACAAATTTCAAATTTTTGGAAGATACCATGATACAAGTGGAAGCATTCAATTAGTATGAATCATACAAGTGGCTTTGGTTATGGGATGATCTAAGGGAGGAACCTCATTTGGGAATGGTTCGAGAAAGGAAGGAAAGTGGATTATGGAGTTAGGGGGAGGTTTAAGTCCATAATACCACACGAGGACATGTGCAAGGGCAAGATAAGTTTTCAAAGATCCCTACAAGTGATATCTTTTTAGCATCATATGATCTTGCCTTTGCATTGCATCCTAGTAGATAGGTTTTTAATTCGGTATTTGTTATTATTTACTTGTTTTGGTCGTGTTGTCATCAAGCACCAGAAGGGGGAGATTGTAAGAAAAATGAACCATTGGCCCATTTAGTTTGGATTTTGGTGTTTGATGATCAACATGACCAAGTTGGACTAACATGTTTGCTAGTGTTTGTTTTGTAGTTCAATAGGGTGCAAACATGACTTAGACGGAGGCGACATGGTGATCCGATGATCAACACCGCAAAGTAAGACATTGGAAGATGTATTGAAGACCTAGATGATCAAGCAAGTCTGAGCCACGAAGATTGGAACCAAGCCGGATTCAAGACATCACGAAGAACAGGACTTTGCAGGGCATCGGACCTTTGCAGGTATAGTCTGACGGGCATTGAACCCAGCCAGAGTAGCATCTAGCAAGGCGTCAGACCACACTTGCATGTAGGCGTCGGACCAACATTGGTTACTGTTCATAGGGATGGAGCAGAGCTACAACGGTCGGACCTTGCCATAGTCCGGGCTTTGGACCAATCAACCAGAAGTCCAATGGGTTGCAGAGCCGAACTCGAGAGGGTTTTTGGCATTAGATCGAGTCTTCCCTGAGGGCATCTGACCATCCGAGTCAATGGCCCACGCGTCAGTCCTAGGTGCATGGCAACGGTCGAGAGCTCCAACGGTCATCTCAGCAACGATCAAATGGAGCGGGAGGCATCGGACTGCACCAACAATGGTCGAACGGTCTGGACCATATGGTTTGACGGTGGCCAGAAGTGACCATTTGGTCTCCAATGGCTATTTCTCTCAATGGGGCTACATAGGACCCCAAACCGGCCAAATGAGGTGTGAGGGAGCAAGTGAAAGATAGTAGGGTGTTGCTACACTACTTTGGTGCTCTCCACATGCATAGTGCTGAGTGATACCCTCAGTGATTTGCGTAGGTACTTTGTGAAGTGCTTAGGTTAGTTAGACCACCGCTTATGCACTTGCTCTAGGTTTAGGACTAGTGTTTAGTGAGGTTTGCATCATACCTCTTAGCACTCGGTGCTTGCGCGCACCATTGTTGTACATTGGAGGGGCTTGTAGTCTTGCGAGACCACACCTACCGTGTTTGTGGTGTGGCCACCACCATGTATCAGAGGGAACAAGGCCCCGATGTTCTGGCTAGAAGCTTGATAGTGAAGACGACGTGGATCGGTTCGGGAGAGGCTTGTCGAAAGGCACATCGGAGACTCACTTGCACGTGGGGAAGGCCCGAGGCTATCCAGGGAGTTATCTGACCGAGGGCTTGGCCCTTGCAAGGGCTTTCTTGCGAGGGTCTCTAACGAGGACTACGGGAAGCTAGCGCACTTCCCGATACCTTGGTAAAAATACCAGAGTCGTCGATGGGAGTTTGCATCTCTACCTCATCTTTAGCTTCCGCATTTTGCTACCTTGGTTGTGTGCTTTACCTTTCCTAGCTTAGTTGATAGGCTAGTTGATAGGATTGGAACCTAGGTTGCATAACTCTTTTGCTGTAGCGATAGCAACACATTAGCATAACTGTAGCTGCACATTTAGATAGTCTACTTTATTGCATATGTTTTTTTGCTAAGGTTGAAATTAGAGGCCATAGTTAGAAGTAGACTTTAAGTTGCCTAATTCACCCCCGGCCTCCCCTCTTAGGCATCATGGTCCTTATAGCCTCCATACATTTAAGTATGAGTCCTATCCCTAGTACTCCTTCCATTCCAAATTATAAGATATTTTGGCTTTTCTAGATAGATTGATTTATTATATATCTAAACATGGTGTATATCTAAGTTTATAACCAAACTTACGTATCTAGAAAAGCCAAAACGTCCTATAATTTAAAATGGAGGAAGTAGGATTCTACACTCAAATTCTAAAAGAACTAGAAATCCTAATAGCACACCTCTCTTTAGACCTAGTTCTAGTAAGATTTGAGTCACTATACAACATTAATGAGGTCTACGACTTTGTTTTTGCACTCTTTTATAAGATGTCCTGATATATTCATCCTAAGGTTCACCCAAGGATGGCCAAAACAAAAAAAAAACTCCCAACTCTATTAGCAATGACGTAATAGCATGACGGTAAGAAAATTGTAGAAACCACATGGATAAAATGCACGTGACTTGTGATTAGCGGCTACTCCCTCTATCCCTTTTTAAGTATTGCTATGGTATTTGTGTTGGTCAAACTTTTCTAATTTTGACTAGGTTTGTATAAAATATTAGCAAAGTTTGTATTTTCAAATAAGTATATTGTGAAAATAGATTTAATGATATATCTAATGATACTAATTATGTATCATAAATATAAATATTTTTTTATATATATTTGGTCAAATTTATATCTCGGAAGTGAGAATGATAGTTAAAAAGAGGAGGGAGCATGTAGGTAGCTCGAGGGTGTCCTCCACGATCTTGAAAAAAATATTTTGTTCTGGTCGCACGTGCATGGATGCCTTTGATAGATAAACTTTTTTTCTTCTTACTTGTATTAGACGTCTAGATGCTGATTTTTGGGGGAAAATATCCCTCACTGTTACAGCCTTGAGTCCTGATTGATAGTGACTTTCAATCGTGGTTAATTAGCCATCAAATGCATGCGCAATATAGATATAGTTTGAACTAAGTGTCGTTCTCTGGCTTGTTAAGTCCAGAGTAAATCATGATAGTCGAGAAAGCCTCTAAATTGGCAAGGTTATGTATAGTTTGATCTAAGAAAAATTTAAAGTTCATAAGATCCTAGAAGTCAATATATACTAATTCAGTAACTTAGTTGATTATAGCTTAGTTTTGAGTCTTTGATCCACCATGTGTATATCTTGAGTTGTGACTATATCAATAATGTGTGGGTTTCATTCTTTCGAAAGCGTTCTATATATGGTTAGCATGTGTAGAGATGATAACGGGTACAAACTCGCTAGGTTTTGCCAATCCAAATCTATGGGCATGAAAATAAATTGTATCTATTTAAAAACAGACCATCATGGGTTTAATTTTGTTTGTACCTGTTAAAAAACAGATCCGTCACGGGCTTAATTTTGTGCACAGATCCATGCCCACTCAGGTCATGGGTACCCAAGCGGTCACCTGTGCCCGCAACAATATAATACATATTCACAATTGTCATATACTCATGTATGCATACAAAAAATAACACAAATGACAAATCATGTTTCACCAACCATACAACAACCAACGCCACCATAGTTCATATATTAATGATATACATATATCAATCAGTTAGGATCTCAGCCTCTCGAATACAATGTGACGCACAAAGATCGAGCGTTAGTGCGCAATAGAGATGCTTGCCACCGTCATCTTATATATGCCTCTATATGAATCGATCTAGTTGAAAAATGGGGTATTGTGAGATGATATGAGCTACTCTTCTACGATGGATCGGGTTTAAAAAATCTATAGGTTTGCAGGTTTGGGTACTACAACTCTAGATCCATGTCCACAGACCCGTTGGGTGTTACATTTTTTTTCCCACTAACAAATCCATTGATAGAGAAACTGACCATTTACTTACCCTAAACAGTAAAAATCCATGTCTGGTCTCGGGTTTTGGGTACCGGTTGCTATCTCTAAGCATGTGTGTTCTCATAGGGTTGTGCTGTATGTTTTGTAGTAGTTTTGAAAATAAATTCACAGGATCTAACAGAAAAATGTTAAAGAAAATAAAATTCGGTCTCGTGATGAAAACGAAAGACGGAAACAGATCGAGGAGAAGAGAAAAAAAAATCCATTTAGCTACGGCATCTCGCAGGTTGTAGCGCACATGCATATGCATATGCACGAAACCACAAGAGCCACCCAGGCCATATCCAATAGCGGCGCAGCAGCAGCAGTTGTCACCGCAGCGGCAGGACGTCCGGACGCCAAGCGGGGAAGGCAAGCCAAAGGTAACAATGCGGACACGCCTCCCCCGCCTCGCTACCTTCCAATCCACCACCCAACCCGTTCGCAACAGGCGGCACGCAACGCAACGCAGCCTCTCCTTCACCGGAAAAATCCTATAAAACGACGCGCCCCTTCCTCCCCCGCCGTCGTAGCTCCTTCTCCTACACAGAAACGCCGACGCCTCCGGCCAAAAAACCGTCACCACACACGGCCAAATCTTTTCCTCTCCACCCACAGGCGACTCCCAAGTCCCAACCTAACACCAGCTCGTCGAGCGAGTCGTCGCCGGCCGGCCGGTATATACGCAAGAAAGCCAAGGAAAACACTCCTCCTCCCTCCCTTGCTTCCTTCTCTACCATATATCCAAGCTAGAACCAAAGCTAGCTTGCGACTTGGCAACCACTTCTACAACTTGGGCTAGCTAGCTAGACGATTCAAGCAGCAGGCAGGATGGTGGCGCCGGTGGTGATCGCGTCGGCGGGGCTGGGCATGCTGGCCGGCGTGGCGATGGCCAACCGGTCCCTTGGGGGGGACGGGCTCCCAGCGGCCTCCAGGTGGGACGCGCGCCCGCGATGCGCCACGTGCGGCGGCTCCGGCCGCGTCGAGTGCATGTGCAACCGCTGGTCCGACGGCGACTCCGGCTGCCGGACCTGCGCGGGGTCGGGGAGGATGCCCTGCCGCAGCTGCGGCGGCTCCGGCACCGGCAGGCCGCTCCCGGCGCGGCTCACCGTCCAGCACCAGAAGCCGCCGCCGCCGGCCGGCTACAACTGATGATGGAATAATTAGGTATCCGTATGCGTGGATTATGATATGATCCTCTAGCTAGTTAATTATACATGTATACTACGTCCGATCCATTCGTGTGGATGATATGCATGTTGTATACTATGTACATGTCTCTTCTTCAAGACTAGATGTAATTGAGCTGAGCATACTTGGTGTTGCTGTTGTTGAGTTAATATTTGCAAATTGCACAACACAAGAAGGAAGAAGAAAAAACAGAGTGGAAATGATTTTTTTTTTAGATCTAAGAACAACATGATTGAGAATGGAGCTGAGGGCAGGTGATTATGAACACAGTTTTGTTGGAAAGGTTGTAGTTAGTTAAGTGTGGTGGATGTATTATATATATATATATATATATATATATATATATATATATATATATATATATATATATATATATATATATATATATATATATATATATATATATATATATATATATATACTTAGTTAATATTATATCTGCACCCACATAGTCATGATTTGCAGAGATTATATATATTTGTTGTGGGTGCCCTTTTCCTGGATGCTATTTTCATTTCTTGTGTTAGTGCCTCAGATCCGTTCAGTTGGTGGATTGCCCTTTATCATATATCTTTTTTATGAAAGCCCTTTATCATATTGTTCTCCGTGGCTTGGATCTTAATTCTCTTTTAACTTTGTGATGTTTTTTTGTTGCTACTGATTGGTGAGCATCGTTATCGTACTTTCCAGGATGTTTGTTTTTGTTGAAGAATAATAAGACCATGGCAGCTCTTGTTGTTCGCGTGATTATTTCCTTTGTCCTTGAATATCGATCTTATAGCTCTTTTATGTGAATTTAGCCCTATATATTGATTCCAAGCTAAGCTAATTTCATGTATATATATATACTAGCTCTTTATCTGTATTAGCCCTACTAATTACAAGCTGATGCATCTGATAAGTAAGGTTAGCAAAACCTTATGTATATTATTATAGGGAGAATTGTCTGTTGGACATCCAAAGTGATGGTAATTTGCTGTCGGACATCCACTTTGGAGCATTTTGCCAGAAGACACTCTAGTTTGGTGAAATTAGGCCACAGAACACCGCGGACCGGTTGCAGCCGGTTAAGGAAAGAGAACAACGGTGAAATGACATTCTTGCCCCTGCGGTGGAGGAGCATGTCCCTGACCCTGATGAACACCCATCGCCGCGACCCGCGTGCCGACGACGATGCGGCCGACGAGGAGGACGACGACGTGGAGGAGGATGAGGACGAGTGGGACGAGGCGGTGACCGGCGGCGCGGCCTCCCCGTGCGTCCCCCTGGTCGCGTCGGCGGCGGGGCCGGGGCCGAGATCCGGCGTTGGGACAAGCGCATTGATCAGCTTGAGCCACGGCGACGTGCTGCGGAGCGGGGACATGGACCGCGCGCGACAGTGCACGGACGCGCTCCGGGGCGTGAGGTGTACACCTCCCTCTCCACCATTAGGCCCAGCCCAAGTGCCTCCTCGGCTTGGCCCAGGCCGCAACAAAGCACGCACACACCCGCGCCGCGTCCGCCGCGTAGGCTCTGCGTCGTCACTGCCACGCCCAGGCACGAGGAGCATGGGAGCACCGGCCTTCTCCGGCTATAAAAGGCCGGTCATGGTTGTAGCCGAGGCCAAGCACGGGAGCGCCACGCCCCGCCTCCTCCAGAGCGCCTCAAGCTGAAGCCATGGTTGCCGAAGCTCGAAGCTCTCCGCCGCCCAGCCGCTCCGCCCTTGCTCTCGCCTCGCCGCAAGTCGCGCCGCCAGGGCCAAATCTCGTTGCCGCCCAGCGCCCCTCTGCTCCGCTCTGCCTCTGTCTCTCTCGTGACCGGGCGAATGGGGAGAAAGAACAGGAAGACCGAGGCTGCGGCATCCAAGGCCATCCGCCTGGGCACATGGCCACGTCGAGGCAACCAATAGGAGCAAGCTACCTCGCCCATAGGTTCACCTGTCATGGACTCCACTCTCTCTTCCCTTTCTTCCGTGGCTTTAGCCCACGTAGACCCCAGAGACAGAGAGGACTAGTCCACCGATCGGTGCATGGGTGCACGGGCACAGTGCTGGTCAGCCCGCCAGCTGACCAGGCCCACACGTCAGCCTCATGGTGGGCAAGAATGTTATCTCACCGCTATTCTCTCCTCAACTGGCTGCAACCGGTCTGCGGTGTCCTGTGGCCTAATTTCACCGAACCAGAGTGTCTTCTGGCAAAATGCTCCAAAGTGAGTGTCCGCCAGCAAAGGACCATCACTTTGATGTCCAACAGACAATTGTCCCTATTCTAATATAAATGAGATACACAAATGGTAGAATCCTAATAACCATCAGAATCATAAAGACATACTGGTAAGTGGTAACCATCGTATATTCTAGCCAGGAATGAGCCCACAGTTAATATAGATCTGTTACCGTCTTTTTGTGAAAAAAAGATCATAAAGCTGAACAATGAAAAATATAGATACTGGTAACCATGCACATCATAAGGTCCTATTTTAATTTCAGCCATGTCTTTTACACATTCATCAATTCATGTATGAATAGAAAAGATGACGTGCTTGAGAGGGATGGCAGTAACTTAGTATGTGTTGTAATCAAGGTGCATAAATTTTCCAATATTATGTAGTACGACCTTCCATTTTTCTATTGTGTTATGTTTATTAGGACAAGCTAATTATTAGTCGAAAAATGAACTATAACCTAAATGCTAGTATATATCTAAAAAACGGAGGAAGTATACCATTTGAACTAGATCCGGCATACGCTTGAAACTTCCGTGCAAGAACACAGAAAGTGCAAGATATTTAGATATTCTGTCGGCATGTGACTGTTGTCTTCTTTGTTTTCTGAAGTACATTTTTTTTTAAAAAAAATTCTAGGAACAAACATGCAATTGCCGGCTGGCTGATGGTATGAGTGATGAGCATGGGCAGGGGAGCAGGAAGTATGGGTTGGATAGACTTGGCTAGGTTTTGTGTGGACAGAAAGAGGTCAAGAGCCGAGCCACAGGCTTCCAAGAAAAAGATCCAATGCAGCACAGCCTGTAGCTCGGGCCAAGGGGTAGTACGGCTCACCAATATGCAGATGCACACATGTGACGTTTCAAATTAGTGTTTTGGCTTTTCAAAATATATTATTTTTTGTTATATATCTCGACATAGTATATATCTAAGCGTATAGCAAAAGCTTTACGTCTTAAAAACCCCAAAATGTCTTGTAGAGACTAGTAGCCTTCAGAAGGAACTTCATCTGTTCCGTGTGGCTTCAAGCTCCGGTCACTCTCCTAGCTAGCTAGGCAGCAAAAGATCATCACAGCTCTTGCTTCTGAGCCGCTGTCTCTGAGCTGGTAAACTAAGACAAAACACAGATAAAGACAAACCAGGTTCTTTCATTAAAGAGAGAAATCTAAACAAAAATGCCTGATTCTGAGGCAAATAATGAGATATTTGTACCATCAAAAGATTGAGTAGGGTCTTAATGTCACACCAAATTTTAAGAATAAAATAAGATGCATAATCTTATGTACGCGTAGAGATCAATCACACACATAAGCCGATAAATTATAGAAAGTATCATCACAAGTGTTTATTACATCACGAATATTATCACATAGTCTTCACATAAATATAGCGGAAATATAAAGATAACTCTATCGCGGAAGCTTCATAGCACAGGGACATCAACTGGTTAACCACAAGACTAGTAATCTTCAGGAAAGTCGTCATTGCCATAATAATATGTTACCCATCCAGGATTTTTATCCAAATAATAAAAATAAACAAGCGTAAGTACATCTCGTACTCAACAACTGTAACATGGGATTCATGAGGCTCAAAAAGCTTAACTCGGGTTTGACTGCATTTAGCTTTTATTTGTCACAATTTTAGCATATGACTAGCATCAAATTGTCATAATCCCGTTGTCGGGGACCTAATACCGGGGTACCCCAGAAGGTGGAACCAATAACCACCGAACGTTAAAAACTTCTGGACGCATAAGAGCGTTGCTTCACCCCTCACGGGAATGATAGGAGCTTGGTTCCACCTCGCCCGACGCCTTTGGGGTGGGCCCGGTCTCGCCCGAGGGCCGAGGATTAGTCTCTGTCTCGCCCGATGCCTTTTGGACGGGCTCGATCTCGTCCGAAGGCCGAGGGATAAACCCCGACTCGCCTAACGCCTTTGATGTGGCTCTGCCTCGCCCGAGGGCACAGGGCTAGTCTCCATCTCGCCCGACGCCTTTAGGGCGGGCTCGGTCTCGCCCGAGGGCTTAGAGATAGACTCCGCCTCGCTCGACCCCAGAGGAGCAGGGTCGGTCTCGCCCAGGAGATAGGGATTGGTCTCCGCTTCGCCCGACGGCAAGGAACAAGCCTCACTCTGCTCCATATCTAAAGATTGGATTCATCTTACCTGACCACTTCTCCCTGTTCCCTCGAGATGATAGAGACAGGGCAAGACAAGACGTTCAGGTCAACCGTGGCTCCAAGAACCATACCCTGCACCCTGGCAGGAAAAGTACTGCCAGGGGGTGACGGGACGGGCGCTTTAGACCCTTCCAGGCACCGCAGAGCCCGAAAGGTGTTACAGGTGCGAGCTCTCCACCCTGTAGAGTTGTAGGCGCCGCCTTCAGCTCTGGGACACGGAACCCGACGAAGATATACGACAACCGCAACGCTCCAGAAAAGGATTTGCTATCTCCACGAACGATGGATATTCCGTCACCATGCTATGGACCCACGGGAGCGGCTTCCGCTTCCCGACCCCTCAGGTCCACCAAGACAGAAGACCTTGGCCACGACGCTACTCTAGACCCCGACCCCGCGTCCCTCCAACGAAGACTCATAGGAACCAGAAGGTGTGCGGAGCAAGGCTGGGGGAGGCTCGAAAGTCAAAACCACTGTACTGCGGCCCATACCCTGCGCAGGGTAGCATTCTGTAACCAACCTGACATTCTACAGAGACATCGACAGTATTGTAGGCGCTTATCTTCCTTCGCACTCATC